TCAAACAAAACATTACAGTTAAAGGGGCTGAAGGAACCAAGATTAAATCTAATATTCATGGCATTTGATGACCTTACACATGGAGAAACACGGTGCAAGTTACTCAAAAAGGTGACAACGCCCTATGAACTCTTCGCACCAGATGTCATGTACTCCACTGATGATGTTAATCTTGAACGCCTCTTTCGAGTTCTGAGTGAGAACAGAAAGAGAGAAGGAGAGACCTTTATTCATGCAGGTTAGCCCATTCAGATGCCTTAGGCACTGCTATCAGTTGGGGCCCTGATAAAAATTAAATTGAGAAAAAGGAATAAAAAAGGATAAAAACAGGGATGGTACCACCACTGTAGGGGGACCCCACATGAATCAGCGAGGGAAGTGGGAAAATAGTTGCTGTCCAGTGCAATTTAGAAATTGGACTGCATATTTTGGAGACAAGCACTACCACTTGTTTTATAATTATATAGAATGCAATGTGCTGCATACCCGTGAAGCCCAAACCAAAGAGTTCTAAGAACTTGTAATTGATAAAAAGTAAGAATAAAGTGAAGCATGGTATTAAAGCATGGTAATAGCATGGTATTAAAGCATGGTAATAGTTACGATTCAAAGGATTTGTTGGCCCCAAGCGTGGTGCACGACCCTCTTTGTTTTATTATTTTATCTTAACATTAGTTAACAACTTAACAACTTTGCAACCAAAACTAATAAAGGGAACAACGAACTGACTAAGGCACCACGAGGGTTACAGACGCAAGATAAACCGGTAAATGTACAAAAAAGAAAGTGAAAAATAATTAGGAAAGACTGCTTAAGTACCTATGACCATTTAGGTGTGTCCTGAGCTGGTTAGGGGTATCCTGAGCTTGTTTCGGGAGCAGCAATGTTTTGCACGACGGCGTCTTGAGGCGGCCGCAGCGCTTGAGGAAGTTCCTGTGGTTGAGGAGCCGGATCGGACATACTGGCTGAGCTTTCTATCGAAATGATAGATAGATAGTTAGTTTATTTAAATAACTTTGCAACCAAAAAGTCGAATTACGTCATATTTACATGGTAAAAAAAAAAAATATAAACATATATATATAAATGTAAAAATGTAAAAAACCTTATCCTTGAATCGGAGAGTGCTCCACAATCATATGGAGCTTTGTAAACGATTATTTAGGAAAATAAAAATTAAAACTTGGTACTACAGATCTGTTTCGAAAGGAAAAGTCCTCTCTCGTCAGGTGACGAGATATAGCTCTTTGGCATTCATGTCCAAATTGAGCACTCTATCTAGGATGGTCATTGCTGTTGCAATTGCGCATGCTCGCTAGTTTACTCTAGTTTGAGCACTCTGGCATGGCTTAGACGATACCACAAAGGTTGGGTCGTCTGGGGTGACCGTCTCGGCTCTCCCCCATCCAAGCAGCAGCACTGCACTGATGAGGCCCAGGTCTCGCATGGTAAGTGTTGCTTCATACTCTTGTAGTTTGAAGTTGGTTCTGGTGTTTTTCGAGGTCTGAGTTGGATAAGTGAGTACCTGCCGGGAGGGAAAACTTGCGACTTTTTCCTCCCTGGCAGTGGTTGTTTTCTTTGGTTCCGTTTTGGTCTCAGCTATGCAAAGATTGCATCTCTTTGTGGTATTTGAGTACGGCCTGGCGCGAGCTATTATTTTCCAGGTCACGGAAAACTCCGTTTCAGCATCCTTTAGGGACCAGATATATTTGCTCAACTCTGTTGCGTTCCTTTTGTTCTCATGTCTAAATGAAGCTGTATGATTTCTAAATCTTGTTTTAAATTGGTTCGCAGTAAGACTGACGTACGTTTGGGTTCCCAAGGGACTTTCAACTGTGGCCTGATAGACCACATTTTGAATTAGGCAATTGTATGGAACGCCATAACTGTCTTATGATACTTTTGGTCTTGATATTCGGTGCTTACATCCTTATATTGGGTGCTTACATCCTTATATTCGGTGGTTAAATCATTATGTTCGGTATTTACTTCATTATATTCGGCGCGTACTTCGTTATATTCGGTGCTTACTTTATTATATTCGGTGTTGACTTTCTTATATTCGGTGCTTAAATCATTATATTCGGTGTTTACTTCATTATATTCGGTGCGTACTCCGTTATATTCGGTGCTTACTCTATTATATTTGGTGCATACTTCGTTATGATCGTCACCAGGCTCCCAAAAATATTGTTCGCGGTAATAACCCCACAATGCAATTCTGCGATTTTCCGCGTATTTTCAAAGTATTATGAAAATTGCGGAGAAGACTGCAATGGCCTCCTTTCTGAAGCGACAAAACTTAAGTAATTTAACAGAAGTATTTGAAAAGGAGAAAATCACACCTGATTTACTTCCTCTGTTATCGGCAAGTGAAATGAAGCAGCTGGGTGTAAGTAATAGTTCTGACATGATGAGTTTGCGAATGGAATGTTCAATCCACGGAAAACAGAAGCCTCAAAGAAATCGTTTAGGATCTGGAGCTCCAGAATTTAACATACCAAAATCAATACTAGAGAATCATCTAGAGGAGGGTTTCAAAATAAAAGAAATCGCCAGTATGTTGTCTGTCTCGGAGAGCACAATTTATTGCAGAATGCAAAGCTACGGAATCAGCTCTCAGGATTTCAGTGATGTTTGAGATGAAGAGCTGGATCACCACATATTAGAACTGTCAAAGGACTTTCCGTTTTGTGGGGAAGGAATGCTTAAATTTCTTCTGCAAGAAAGAGGCATTAAAGTGCAAAGAATGCGACTTCGAGATAGCATTCATCGCGTAGATGAAGAAGGAGTACGCGAAAGAAAGAAGGGTAGATTGCATCGAAGGGTGTACAATGTGAAAGGCCCCAACCACTTGTGGCACATAGACACCAACCATAAACTTGTAAGGTGGAATTTTATAATCATCGGCGGAATTGATGGCTATAGCCGATTGCCTGTAATGTTAGAATGTGTAGACAATAATAGGTCAGATACTATTCTGGCTTGTTTCTTGGGAGCGGTTGAAAAATTTGGTTTACCCTACAGAATTCGAACCGATCAGGGTTGTGAAAATGTAAGCATAGTCGACTACATGATATCAAGAAGAGGGACAGATAGGGGTGGTGATATCACAGGTAAGAGCACCCACAATCAACGTATTGAGAGACTATGGAGGGATGTCTACCAGGGTGTTCTTGCACTTTACTACAATTTATTCTACTTCATGGAGGATGAGGGGATATTGGACCTATTGGATAATGTTCATTTGGTTGCTCTCCATCATGTTTACCGGGCTAAAATTCAAGAGAAGTGAGACATTTGGAACAAAGCTTGGTCACAGCACAGAATGCGAACGACGAGGTCGTCACCAATAAGAACTTGGGTAGCAGGTCAACTTCAAAACCCAGTAGGAATAGAATTGCAAAGTGATCTCATCCCCCACTATGGGGTTGAAGGATTTATTACTGAAGGTGGTGACAATGGTTCTGGGAGGCCTATCTTTGACGCCCTCTCATTTCGGTTGAGGAGTGACTGTACACAGCAACTGAACCATGAAATTCCGTGGACGTGGACATCGTCTAACTTTGGAATTGAGGTGTACTTGAAAGCTCTTCATATCGTCAGGCAGTCAGTGGTCTCTCAAAGGAATGCAAATGAATCACTACCAGGAATTTCAATCAAGTCTGTGAGGAGGAAACCATATGACTAAGGTAGCATGAAGAGCTATTAATAGTGGAACCTTGAAACAGTATTTTAGCAGGAATACATGTTCCTGTTCAGAGTTGCTGTGAACTAGAATGATCTTAATAAAAGTACTGTATTTAGAAACCGCTTTGAAGGGTTAATAATCAATATCCACTCTTTACCCAATTTTTATTGATGCGTTGAGTTGCAGCGGTTTGTAAGGTATCAAAAAGGAGTTCATGACAGGTCATTTACACTAGATGTCAGTATAAAGGAAAGAGCCCATGTAACAACAAAAGTTGCGTTTGAGTGCCAGGTTCTAGTAGGACCATTCTGCACGGCCAACTTAAACTAGGTCTTTGTTAATGAATGACATTAAGTATTTTTAAAAAATCCACTTTATTTTGATGATAACATTATTTGTATTGTAGCACTCTCTGAAGTAACTTCAAAATTTGAACTTTGTCCTACTTTGTATAGATGAAATGAACTTTATGTCCTTTAAACTGCAAGTAGAGGACCCACCTACACTCACAAGAAGAAGCAAGTTAAAAGACATGAAACAACTGTAAGATATGGTGACTTTAAGTCATTGGTAAATATATTTCTTGAACTGAAGTTAAAGCATAAAATTCCAAACAGAAATATTTCAAAGGGTCTGAACAGGGTATTTCTTGTTCTTACTTGAAATACATTATTGTGATTCTTGGAATGGCAATCATGGTTAAACAATCATCGGGTAAACGATAATAACAACAACATATTAGGAAAGTGATAACAACAATTTTCAGGTTTCAACCACTTAATCATTCAAGGTCAAAAATAATGTCTTCCCTTGAGAAATGACAACACTATGATAAAACAAGCCAGAAATTACAAGAATGTTACACATTGCCAAAATAGCTATATAGAAATGCACAGTCATATAAATCAAATAGCTTCTCGTCAGGTGGAATACTGATCTCAAGTGTCGGTGATGGCAAAATGATGGCATTAATACATGTGTTAGCTATTGGCAGAAAGGACTGTACTGCTGCAGTGAAGAGCAACGAGGGATGCAATTTAAATCCCAACAGGGGTTCTTCATCTGACCCTGTTGCAAACCACAAAACATGGGCCAGAGTTACTCTCATTCTCCTTCCACCTGTTAAAGCAAGCAAAATGAAAAGAACCAATTCACTTTTAATTACAAAGTTTGTAGCTGAAAAAATAAATTAAAACACAAACGAGGAGAGTACAAAATCCTTACATAAATATTTTGCTTGTATGTATTATGTTCAAAATACATACATGCATACGTACAGTGCATGTAAACCCTTTGAGATAACAGATGTAATTGAAGGAAACCAACCCCATATTATCTCTCAAGAAGAGATTGTAAGATAAATTTTACAAAACATTTTTCCCTTACATAGAGGACGAGACGACCCTTTCCCTCACCATTGCAAAGGTTAGAAAATATTTACCAAAAGAGCAATAAGATAGCAGATCAAAACCAACCATCATTGTAGGTTCTATTTCTAACAAGAGAGGACAAACAATTCCGCAAGTAACAGATTTTAGCTGATAATACTAATTATTATTCTGCAACAGTTTCTCCATACAACCATTTGGACACATGATTCCATAAGTAATGAGACAGCATGGGAAGGCCATAATATTGATATCATGTCAAATGCAATGATTGAAACAAAAGAAAAGTCTAAGGATCTTGCAGTTTTTCATAGGCTCCAGTACCCTCTGTATTTCATGCCAGAAGCCTAAATTGATAAACTTATTTGAAACCATTGCTAAGTTTACTGATAGGATTATTATTGTTATTATTATTATTATTATTATTAACTTTTCTCTCAGTAAGAGAATTTTTAAACTTGTTTTGTAATATTTATACCTTAATTATGATCATCATTATGATTATTATAAGAAGTGTGTATCCATGAGCTTTTCTGGGATTTTTACTGGACATTTTGACGCATTTGTTTTCGATTTTTAAGCATTTTATCATAATTTTTGTAAATACTTTTAGTGATTATTATTATTATTATTATTATTATTATTATTATTATTATTATTATTATCATGCTACTGATAAACTAGATTCCAACCCACGATAGTGGGATTGCACTGCACTTGGCTACTGACAAAAGAAATTTCCAAATGAGACTAGTTTACAACTGTTGTTAAGACCATTACACAAGGTAGCACTTACTTTGTACCTCTCTCAGGTACCTAGACAAGGAGCGGCAGCTGTTTGCAGACCTGTAAATGTTGAATTCAAAATGTGTAGCTGTTGACTTTAGAAACACGTAATCTTTCACTACTTAAAAAAATGAAATGTACATCATTTGTTACATGTATGAAAGGAAACAAATGAACTGTACTCAATACAAGCCTGTTCATTAATCATCTATACAGTGTCACTGATTTAGGGAACAGAAAATCAAAGACTGATCATTACAGCGACATTCATCAAAACCCCAATGGCTTTTACATTTTCTCTCTTATCTAAACAAAATAACCTCACCAAAAACTATTTTTCTCACATTTCATGTTTTCCTCTTACTAATGTGATGTCAATATCATAACTACTGTATAAAGTGAAAAATGTTATAGGTCAGAAAAAATTCTATAATTTTATACAGTTTATCATGTCCAACAACATCCTTTTACAGCGAACATGTGAAGCTGGACCATACCATACATATTCCTAATTTGTCCAATCCTTTCTGTAAATTACAATAAGCTGCTGATGATTGGATGCTGTTAAAGATGTTTTCCAGCTGATCCTCTGAAAAGAACTGGGTGATCTTTCCATTCTGAATGATGCTTAAACCTAGAAATCAGTTTAAGGAAGCTTTTATAAGGAGATCTTTTGTGTCATAACAACATCAATAATCATTACTGACATGAAGTACATACATAACTGACAAATAGCATGGGGTAGCTAGTTGAGGCGAGTTGTGTACATGAAAGGTAATCAAAATTACATATTTAACCAGTGTGAGATTTATTACTTACCAATTATCACTCCAACAATATAGTACTCATCTGCAAGAAGGTCACGTATGCCATTGTCAAAATACTTTTCTTTAATAGCTGTGAGTGTGAGCCGGAAGAACTCTCTCCTCGGACCCCCATAGTCACGTGCTTTCTGGAGAAATAACAGATATTTAGTACTTGTTGCTGAAAAACATTCTCATCTGAATCCAATGAAGGGGTGATTATTGTAGTCAAGTGGTAGAATTACCTTAAAACACTGACATAGAATCAGGACTCAGGTGAGGAATACGTGCACACTGAGAATTTTTTGTGACACATTAGATACATGTTAACATCATAATTTGAGTATTTTGTATAACTCCTGCAAATAACAAGCTAACAGTAGGAACAAAAGGCACAGCTATTTAAGTAGTAAAGCAAAGGCAAGCACAAAACAATGAGGCCACTTGAATCAACACTTCAAATACAAAGCAATGAACATTACTGACAAAAATATTCTTTACTCGCTTTTTTCACCATTTGCATTGAAAAAAGTTCATTTAGGGGGAGGGGGTATTTTCAATAAAACAATTGATCTTCAGTTCATTAAAATAGTAAATTGGAGAGAGTAATACGTACAGGCATTAACATGTTGCTTACAAAAACGCTTACAGAAAGAAATAACTTACCTCCCCATAAAAAGAAACCTCCAGAGTGAGGCGAAGGTTTTCCAGAGCCCCTATTTCCTCGAATGCTGTTTCAAGTATATTCATTCTGTCTACATTGATGCAGTTTGTCTCCCCCTCTAACACTTCACTGTCAGATTCTAATTCCAATCTCCTGCCAGTGACAACTTCTTTCTGCATACATCGGAGAACTTCCACGGGATTGTGTACATTGTTTGTCTGGCAAAAGGTTACAACTTTCCCAACGGCAGTATCAATATTATCTTGTTTCTCTTCAGGTTCATGTACAGGTGCTGGTGAGTTAGAAACTTCTATGACTGGGTTTGCTTCCTGTATTTGTTGTGGAGCTTGCGACATCACTGGACTCACTGGCGATTCACTTCTAGAGTCAGCAGTTGATATTCCTTCCAGAATGCAACCATTGTCACCATCTGAGTCTGATCCACTATTAAATCCAACTGTACACATGTAAAAAGAGTGTGTTCTGAGTTCATTCATTGGGAATTCTTTCTGGCAAGCCAGGCATTTCTCTTTTACTTCACAAGAATTCTGTGGTATGAGAGATTTAGTGGACAGATCTTTTTGGATTGGCCTCAGTTAAATTTTGGATTGCCCTCCTAAATTACTTCTTATTTCTCTGGCAGCCCAGGAACACTTAAGAGGTGTTAAATCCTGGCAATTTGGTAGGCAATGTAGCATCTCAAATCCTCCTGCTTCACGTAATTGGGGAAACCCCTTCACATCACCTACATCGTCCTTTTCACTCGAGACAAGCTTCTCATACACCGCACTTGCATCATCATCTAAGAGTAGCTTGATCTTTTTTAATCCTAAGCCTGCTTTGTGCAAAGTTTGTTTCTCAACAGCTGATGGTATTTTGCACTGATACCGATCTGCAAGGTAAACAAAGTGAACAGTCCAAGTTCGTGGATAAGGATGTTTCTTGCTTCTACTTTTAGATTGCGACCGAGCGCCCCTTGCATTGAAAAGACGCATCCGTTCATCGAGGACAGCGTCAGCTAAAGGTACATCTCCGGTTCTGCTTATTGAGGTGTTTGCAACGTGTACACTTCGAGAGCCAAACGATGACCTGCTACTGTCCTCTTGGTCTTCTTTACAAAGTTCACACAATCGAACTCAATCTCTAATCGCAGTTTCACCAAGTCGCTCTAATTCCTCATCACTCATCAACTGAACTATCGAAGGAATGATTCGTTCTTGTCGAAATACTGCAACGAGCGCTTCAAGGTTTAGTTTCGTCAAGATGTCTTCCATTTTTTCGTGCTCAACAAAGCTGTACAATTGGGAGCGTGCTGACGATCATAACAAAGTTTGGACCGAAGATAATGATTTTACCACTGCGTATAATGTTGGTAGGACCGAAGATAATGAAGTGCTCACCAGTTGTCGGAAGCACTGAACTGGATGATTTAATCACCGAGTATAATGAAATAAACACTGAATCTAATGAAGTGCATACCGAATATAATTTCGTGAACACCGAATATAATGAAGTGAACACTGAAAGAATAACCCACCCAGTATAATAAAATGAGCACCGAATATAACGAAGTATGCACCAAATATAATAAAGCACCAAATATAACGGAGTACGCACTGAATATAATAAAGTAAACACCGAATATAATGATTTAAGCACCGAATAAAAGAAAGTAAACACCGAATATAATTAAGTAAGTACTGAATATAACGAAGTACGTGCCGAATATAATGAAGTAAATACCAAACATAATGATTTAACCACCAAATATAAGGATGTAAGCACCCAATATAAGGATGTAAGCACCGAATATCATGACCAAAAGTATCATAAGACAGTTATGGCGTTCCATACAATTGCCACATAACGAGCAAGAGTGTTTGTCTCTACAATTGCATGATTTTTCTTGCGATTGAGAATTATTTGCGAGGGAGGACTTGTTGTGGGCGTCGATTTTTCACAACAAGTCCTCCCTCGCTCACAACAAGTCCTCCCTCTAGGAATGGGGTGCTGTTGAATTTTATCGTAAATCAATTCATCACTAACCATGCTGCATGTTGAAGTTTACATACCGTACTGTTTTTTTTCTTTGTTGTCGTTTTTGTTTTTATTGATCATGAATGAATACTTTTTGGATTGAAGTCAGAGATAAACAACTTGAGAATTTGCTCGGGTTTGCACTTTTTTATGTCTTAAGCTTATTTTTAACCAGCGCCGATGAAAACAGGAAAGTCGCGCTCACGCAACAAAAGAAAATGACAATCAATTTTAATTTCGGCACGACTTTCCAAATCAAGTAATTTAATTCAGTCTTGAACGACTTTGTTGAAGAAAAAAAGAAGAAACAAAACAAAACAAACAAAGAAACACAAACCAAGTTTGTTCCTGAGCCTAACCATTTTAGGGGTGACTTGTTTGAGTTCAATTCATTCTTTCTGCGTTAAACAAGAACTCATCGTAAACAACTTCGTCGTTGGATCGCTTGATTTCTACATGTTTTCGCCATAGCCTTCTTCAAAATACATTGCATATCTAAGTAGTCAATGTTCAAAAGAAGTGTACCGTCATGAATGAGTAATAGACAAGGAGAAAAATGATGACGATTACCAAAATTATACTTTGTGAAATTATGAAGAAAGTTGAGCAGCGTTAAAATCTAGTGGCACGAAACAAAATGACAGCAACACAAATCGCAGGAAAACAAATCTAACGGCCTCTAAAATTTGATAGATGAATCAACAGACACGAGTCTTACCTGGAATGGATCAATTATAAAGTTTAATCACCCATGTGGATTCATGTAACTCGCTGTAACTATAATTTATCCTCTGTTTGCGCTTCGAAGATAGTTTCATTGTCCTTAAAGCTGTTTGTAAAACCGAAAATTTGTGCTGGCGATCTCTAAAAGGCCGAGTTTTGGCTATTCAATTGCGAATATCATATTACGTTTACGTCTCGTTGCAATGACTTCTATGACTTCTAAGTCACATCTGAAACAGAACGAGGCGACGTTCTCGACCCAGTTTCTTACCGGTATTTTTGCTGCGCGCGCCGCTGTCAACTGACATTCCCGTCCTCTTGCTAAACTATCTAATAATAACAATGAAAAGTTATAGAGGTTTGACCTACCGTTGTTTTTTTTTAAACGTATTTGTGCACGATCCTCGCAGTAAAGAGCACTATTAAAGCAATAGTGAAAATCAGACCTGAAAAATTTCAGGCCTGTACGGGATTCGAACCACTGACCTCTGCGATACTAGTGCAGCGCTCTACCAATTGAGCTAACAAGACAACTGGGCGCAGGTCATCAGATTAGTCCGACAGAGACCCGTAAGATGACAAATCAAACACAACGAATGTATGAAATTCGCATATCTGAACTGTGGTTATAGAAACGTATTTGTGCACGATCCTCGCATTAAAGAGACTTAACGGCCTGCTCTCAGTTGGCTTGTTAGCTCAATTGGTAGAGCGCTGCACTAGTATCGCAGAGGTCAGTGGTTCGAGTCCCGTACAGGCCTGATTTTTTTCAGGTCTGATTTTCGCTATTGCTTAAATAGCGCTATCTACTGCGAGGATCGTGTATCATACGTATCTAATACCGCAGTTCAAAATATATGACCTTCATATATTCATTGTATCTCAAGAAAAAAATTATCAAGGTTCAAAGTTTGCTGCCTTGATCGGGAAGTGCACTGTGATTTTGAGATAGAATAAATATATGAAAATCATATATTTTGAACTGCGGTATTTGATACGTATGATGCACGATCCTCGCAGTAGATAGCGCTATTTAAGCAATAGCGAAAATCAGACCTAAAAAAAATCAGGCCTGTACGGGACTCGAACCACTGACCTCTGCGATACTAGTGCAGCGCTCTACCAATTGAGCTAACAAGCCAACTGGAAGCAGGTCGTCAAATTAGTCCGACATAAACCCGTAAGATGACAAATCAAACACAACGAATATATGAAATTCACATATCTGAACTGCGGTTATAGGAAACGTATTTGTGCACGATCCTCGCAGTAAAGAGCACTATTTAAGCAATAGCGAAAATCAGACCTGAAAAAATTCAGCCCTGTACGGGATTCGAACTACTGACCTCTGCTCCCAGTTGGCTTGTTAGCTCATGGTAAAGCGCTGCACTTGTATCGCAAAGTTCTGTGGTTTAAATCCCGAACAGTTGAAATCCCGTGCAAAAATCAGAAAATCAGACCTGAATTTTTTCAGGTCTGATTTTCACTATTGCTAAAATAGTGCTCTTTACTGCGAGGATTGTGCACAAATACGTTTCTATAACCGCAGTTTAGATATATGAATTTCATATATTCGTTGAAATTGTGTTCGTTGTTTTTTTGTTCGCGGTGGCGAAATTTTGACTGTTTATATTTCAAATATTACCGTGGAAATGAAAGGAGTAAAAACGCCGACTAAAAAGTAAAAAAAAAAAAAGAAAAGACCGATAACTTAACTGACTGCGTGATTTTCGAAACGTGACATGCAGTTGCTGCATTAAACTTTAGACATCACATGGCCCTGTATTAATTTATGAGGGCTCCATTCACAAGCATTGTAATGTTATCTTTCGATTTTATTTCAGTTTAAAATTTATTTCGCCAAAAAGAAAAAAAAAAGAAAATTGATAAACGCATGAGCTGGAGCCATTCTTGCCAGCGGTGAAATATAGGAATGGCTCCAGTCGCTCCAGTCTCTAGTCGTCCACCTGAACTGAGTCTGCACTGACTAAATGAGTTTAGTCAGCGGAACGAGTCAGCAGATGACTTAATCCTCTCCGGAATATCGCAGAACAAGAAAGGTCTCCCCTTCGTTATGTAAGTAACCATCTCTTGTTTGACACATCGGAGTTTTCAGTCGCATTGATATTTCCCTGTTCCGCTTGGAGACACACGGTTAAACAATACTCACGTGCAAGGAGTTGAGATGTAACTTATTAACTTTTAGAAACTTTTACTATTTTTATCATCCAATTACAGGTCGGAGCCATTCCTGTATTTAGTCGCTAGTGCCATCGATTGCCTCCGCCATTTTGTTTGGCTCAATCCCCCGCGTGTTCATTGACAAAATAGTGCTCCTTCAACATGATCTCGAGACCGAAATAATGATTATCCGGTTTATCCGGTTTATCCGGTTATGATTATAGCTGATTATAGCAAATTTCACGGACGCGCACGAATCTATGTTCCAGGAATGGCCGAGCCGGTGATATGAGTAATTCATGCAAGAATGGCTGACACGTCCGGATCGGAGGTCACGGCTGGGTGAAAAACTAGTTGTGACGTCGGACTAGTGCTATAAAGACCGATAAAGCTTTGTTAGCTACAGAGGTCACCTTTTATTAAAATATCTTGGATGCATTTCGAAACTGTTTGGTGAGGGCCGTATCCTACTTACGCAGTTCACGTGCTTCAGCTGGCGCGATTCAGATCATTTTGAGGGGTAGAATATCAAAGAGCTTAGGCGGAGGTATGGGCTATGATCACATGGAATGTGGACTTTAAATTGAGCTTAAGTTATTTTATCTGTGTGCGTAGGAGATACTGTAGTCCTCACTCTTTCCAAAGACGACTATTTCAGCCCAGAAAAATAGACACTTAGACTAGTGCAAATTATGCGGTTTTAGGTGTGTTTTTGCGTGTATGATCGTTCTGTGTTCTCCTTCATATATCAGTGGATAGTTTGGGCGAATGATAACTTGATGGCCAAGGAAATATCTAGTTCACCGGTTACCCTAAAACACTACAAAATGATTAACGCTTATTTCAAGCAGTCTATAAAAACAGTACCGAATAAAATCCTATGTGTATCAAATTTCTGTATGGAATTTTTTTCAAACTTAGACGCTTCGATCTTCGCATTGCCGGGCCAAATTCCAGTTTTGTCCCATGATTCTGCAAATAATTTTTTTGTCCGACATTTGCTTAATTGCCTCCAAACGCCATGATCTTTGTTTACATGGTTCTCTCCTGCTTGTAATTTGAAAGAAGTCTCTCAGCCTTCTATCTCGACTTGTGATCGAAACTTATTCTTTATTGAGTAAAATAAACGATATGCTGTAAAGAATTGTTGGTAAAGTTTTCGTATAACCCTGATTTGACCTTAGTGTTTAATAGTTTTGGAGCCAGAGCGTTGTCCCAGGGACTCTGGGAACCAACCCCTCCCTTTATTTAAAGACGCGACGAATCCAATATTGAAAATAACGGATAAAGGCTGATAGTTTCGAAAGAAACTGTTTGGGGCTGTGTCGGTGGGGGTAACGAAATAATTTGGATATATCAACAAAGTTGAAATGGTAACTTGGCCACCTTAACGATTACAAAAGCTGACGTTTCGAGCGTTAGCCCTTCGTCGGAGCGAATAGAGGAATTGTGGGTTGTGTGTGCTTTTAAAGGCAGAAAATGG